AAGTGTTGGGTATTTCCTGTATCAGCAACAGTGGCTAGAGCTGAGCAGGCGCAGCTGCCCTCAGACAACAGGAGCAGGCGGCTTTCCGCCTCACTCTGGCCTCGCCTTGGTCCTGACCTCTAGTTGCTGACTTGCTCTCAAGGCCCCAGTGGACTTATGCCCTGCAGTGGCTTCATTCCCCTTACATGTGCTTTGCTATCCACTTCATCTCCTCCGTCCTAGACCAGCCTCTTTCTTCATTCTATCTTGCTTGGAGGGTCTGAGCATTGACCACATCTGAGGGGTCGTGCTAGGTGCTCGGGCTACAGAACCAACCCTTGCTCCTGGCCTTCCAGGGAGTGGCACAGAGAAGGCATGCACATACGTTCCCTGAGTCCTGGGCTCAAGAGAGATGTCAACATCCCCCTCCCTCTCCACCATAACGAGAAGCATAAGCAGAACCTTCCTCGCTAATGTTCCTGTGAGTCACGGCGAAAGGGGAGGCCTGTGGAACCCTTCCTAACCATCAACTGCCATTTGCCTGTCTATTGTTATAGAGGGAGAGGACTATTATTAGAGCTTTTCATTATCCAGGTCTTCAGTATCCAAGGCCTACAATTAAATAAGTGAGTAGGAAAGCTCATTTCTCTATAATATGACATTGTCACTTATTTACTGGCTACTTATCAACTTAGTCCCCACAAAAACATTGCCAAGAGCCCCTCCTCGGACTGCCACAGCCCCTCCCATCTGTGTTCTGTCCCCAGCAAGTCGTTTGAGACTGTGACTGTCTGCAAAGACAATGCAGGCATGATGGCTGCGTGTTTTGCCAAAGGTACAGGATCTCTCGAAGTCACTGAATGGGATGTTGGGGAATTCCTAAATCGCAAATGAAGGATCTTGCAATTAAGCCAGCTCACAACCGCAGAAGACAAAACCTAATCAGTGCTTCAACGTGAATCATTTGAAGGATTTAGAAAAGCCCTTAGAATAACGGATAAAACCCTCTGTGTTTTGTAAAATTACCACAGTTATGAATGTGAAGTAGAAATCACACATAAAGAGGGGACCAGCAGGTGGCATGATGGTTAAAGCACTGGACACTCCCATATGGCCAACCATAATTTGAGTCCTGGACCTGGCGGCTTGCTGTCTCACTTTCTCTCTGTCTCTCTCTGGTTCAAATTAAAATAAATGAATAAATAAATTTAATTAATAATTTAAAAAAAAAAAGAATTCAAACATAAAGAGAAGAATGTCAGAAAAAATCAGGCCAAAAGAACTTAGGGGTCCAGCAGGTGGCGTGGTGGTTAAGGTTCTGGATCACACAGGGCCAACTCAGCCATTCAAATCCTAGACCCGGCAGCTTGAAAAACACACTGGGGCATGCCCAAAATCACAAAAGGAGAACGGAGGAGGAGGGATTGCGGCATGCCCGTCCCTGCTGGGGGTGATTTTTCACTTTCTCTCTCTCTCTGGCGAGCACACACACTTTATGACAAAAATCTAAAAAGGAAGGAAAGAGGGAAAGAATGAATTAGGTTTGACCCATTCTCTCTCTCTCTCTCTTTCTTTCTTTTTTTTTTTTTGGAGAGGTTTTTGCTATAGGACGCGTGCACTCGCCAGAAAGACGGAGAGAGGCAGAAAGCGAGAAATCACCCCTTCTCCATACTCCAGGAGGAGCGGGCACAAGGCACTACCCTTTGGATGAGAAAGAAGCCACTTCACCTTGCACTTCCCTCTGGGATGGGCTGTTACCCCACCTTCTCCCGCTCACCCTTCTGGGGGATGGAACACTTCCAGGAGAAGCATCTTGTGTTGGCCCAGCCACAGTGGCACAGGTGGTAACCACACAGCAGGCCATGAGTTCAAGTCCCCAGTCCTCCTGAAACATGGAGGGGTGCACACCCGAGATCCCAGATGACTGGAGGACTAGACTGGAGGAAAGGGATCACATCATGATGAGACCTTGTCACTGGTGCTTCTCACTCTCACTCTCTCTCTCTCTCTTTCTCTCTCTCTCTCAATAAATAAACTTGGAGGAAGGAAGGAAGGCATCCCATATTGATCATAGACCTGGTTTGGGGCTGTGGGCTAATATTAAGCCTCTAACATGGTGGCGGGGGGCTACAAATAATAAAGTGGCTGAAGGGATTCTTGCAGGGAGAAAGTTGTGCCCAGCACCCCTTCACAGAGCTGTTTGTCCCCCTTCTCCAAGGATATGGTCCCCAAGGCTTTGCTTTCAAGCCACCTTAAAAACAAAAACCAAAAAAATTCTGACCATGGCTCTGTTTGGGCCAGTCCTGTGGGTGACAGGAAGGATCGTGCCAACAGCCGTGTATGCGGGTGGAGAGGGCAGTGTGCCTGTCCCGCAGTCAGACTGCTGCTGGCCACCCTGCCACGCTGCCACCCGCTCCCCACCCCGGGCAAGTCCCATAATCCCTGAGCCCCTGTCTCTGCATGTAAAACGACCATGGTCTGATCACAGGGGGCTGTTGGAAGGCTTCCAGGAGAGGCTGCATCTCATTTGGCATCAGACGGATGTTAGCATGCAGACCCCGCCAGGCAGAGGGCAGACCTGGTGCCTGTTCAGTGACCGTTCACCTGTCCACTGCAGGAAATCTGGGAGGACCGGGAGGGGATGGACCGGGCCTCATGGGCGTCTGGCCTCCGTCCCTGCCCTGGGCACCTCCCAGAATGTGCACTGACCAGGCTTGCCTTCCCCTGATTTCTCTTGTAGCTGAACCGGAGTGATAGTGACAGCTCCACTTTGTCCAAAAAGCCACCTTTTGTTCGAAACTCGCTGGAGCGGCGCAGCGTCCGGATGAAGCGGGTAAGAGAGGCCCTTGAGGCTGTAGGTCTGTCCCTCCTCCGTCGTTTCCCAGAGCTCCGCGTCCTGCGCTCACGGCCTCTGACCTTGGCTAGGTGTCCTCGGCCACTAGCTTGGAGAAGTCGCTCTTTTAGCACGATGGGATTTGTGAGCGGAGTTTGTGAGCTGTGCGGCCTGGGTTGGCACTGTGGAAGGTGACAGCAAACGTAGCCTTACTGTTGTGACACGTGGTTCAGACCAGGCACAAGTACATTGGCCTTGTCTTCGTGGGTAGAAACCCAAGTCAGTAAGAACGAACCCAACCGAGATTCACGGCCTGTGACCAGAGAGTACGGCCCAATGGAGCCTGCCTCGGGCAGACTGCTCCGTGTTGCGTCGCCAGCCGGCCGCTGCAGGTTCTAGTGGTTCTCCTGATGGCAAAGAAGTTGGGCCTCCAGGCACAGGCCGAAGCAGGGAGGTATCCATGGGCTTCCTGCAGACCAGTTGGAAACACACCCGGAGGGGCCAGAGACTGTCCCTGTGGAGAAGTCTCCTTTCCGAGTGGAGGCCCAGCTGAGGGATCGGGATGCTTCCACGGTCATGGAGATGTTCTTTCCAAATGAGTGTTTTCTGATGGGAGGGTAGTTAATGACTGTGTTATTCGGGATCATTTACACACAGATAATTAAGAACCCTGCACAAATAGAGTTTCGCAATGAAAAAGGGAATTGGTTTTTGCATTTAATGAAAAAGTCCAAGATGCTAGGCCGTCTTCAGGCATGGATTGATCCAGAGGTTGGGGTGTTGTTAGCAAGCCTCAGTCTCCCTCTCATGGCACTGTTCCCTCCAACTAGAGAGCTTCATTCTCAAACAGGGTTACCCTGTATGGTGATCAAAATGACCATGGGTCAGGTATGGGTCTATGTCTTGCTGACTTAGCAACCTCTGTGTAAAGACATTGCCTTTTTTCCAAGCAGTTGAGCAAAATACCAGACCTGAGTGTTATTGGCTGGGCTAGGATACTGCATTCACCCTGAAGCATCTCTGAGGTTCTGATTGGTCAGGTTCAGGTTCCATTCCTATCCCTGCTACCAACACAAACCAGGTGGATTGAGTGTAGAGGACACAGGGGCCCCCGAGGGAAGTTGTGGAAGTTGCTGAAACTGGGGAAACAGGTGCTGGGCCAGCAGAAACAGAAGTCCACCCAGCAACAAGGGTCGGGAGCACACGGGCTCTCCTCTGGAGAGGACTCTGCACCTAGGCTGCAGCTGCAGTCCAGGCTGGTGACCGGAGTCCAGCACCCAATGGTGTCTGTGGTGGGCCCAAGAGTGGTGGCACTGGTGCAGGCTGCAGAGTGAGGGGTGGAGTCTGCTGCCAGGGACAAGCTCAGCTTTGCAACTTCTGCCCAGAGTGATTTAACCTCTATGAGCCTCATCTGTACAAAGGGTAACAGCTGGGACCTCAGGATTGGTGTGAAGTTGGGGACCAGCAGGTGGCATAAGGGCATGAGGTTGGCATGAGGAAATGCCCACAAAGCACCTAGCACTGTGCCTGGGCCATAATAAATGCTCAGTAAGCACAAACCGAGCACGTAAAGTTCAGGAAGGCTCCTTACAGGAAGGGCCAGCTCATTTTGAGGGAGTGGAAGCCTGAGGTTAAGTGAAGGAGGGATGTGAGATTCTGGGACAGGGGTAGCCAAGCTCTCTGGGGTGGGGATGGGGGCTTCCAGTGACCAGTGGAAGTCACTCCACCTCCGCAGCCTTCCTCGGTCAAATCCCTGCGTGCTGAACGCCTGATCCGCACCTCGCTGGACCTCGAGCTAGACCTGCAGGCGACGAGGACCTGGCATAGCCAGCTGACTCAAGAGATCTCGGTGCTGAAGGAGCTCAAGGAGCAGCTGGAACAAGCCAAGAGCCACGGGGAGAAGGAGCTGCCACCAGGGTTGCGGGAGGATGAGCGCTTCCGCCTGTTGCTGAGGATGCTGGAGCGGCGGGTGAGTGGCCTGGAAGGCAAGGCTCTTGGTGGGGGCTGCGCCACCAGGGAGAGGGGCCAGAGCTGTCAGCGGCCCCAAACTCTCACTACAGGTCACACCATGAGTGCCTCAAGGGCCCCTCCTTCCCTTCAGGAAAGGGATCTGGAAACCCTTTGCCCACTCCCCCCACTGACTCTGGCGGTGGGGCCCTATACCTGCCATGTTCAGATGTACAAGCCCTTTCGCACACACTTGTCTGCCCTGCAGGCCTTCCTCAGGCATGCCGGGGTCGTCACAAAGTTCACGGCAAATGCACGTTATGGAAAAACTGTGCATTCATTTCAAGATTTTTTTTTTTTTTTGCACTGAAATAAATTCATAATTTAATTCCATTTTTCCACAAATTTGTTGAAATCCCCACGAATTGGGTACCTAATCTGTGCTGGGACATACACTGTAGCAGAGCGATAGCAGGGTCCTAGCCTGCCCCAGTGCCTGCCCACGAGTCCCACAGAGCAGCCCCTCCAAAGGAGAAGGCTTTCAGGGTGACCAGGAGAAAGAGACCCAGAAAGAAGCAGAAGCATAGGGGTTTGATTTGGGGTGCACTTTGACAGGTTCACATGCTGGGGAAACCCCACACTGTGAGACCTTCCAAAGATTCTGAGGCTGCTACCCAGTGGGCAGGAGGGCAAGGGAGTCTCTGGAAAGAGGGGCTTGAAGAGGGGTTTACACCTGTAGATGAGGTCATTCAGCAGCTCCTTGGTGTCTATTACAGGCCCAGCATTTATCTTAGGGAGCTGGTGTCGGGGACGTTTTCACAGGCATGCAAAGTAGGAAGGTCGAAATGGCTGAAAAAGCTGCTCATTTGAGCTCAATTGAAAAGAGTAAGATTGGTGCAGCCCTGTAGACCAGTGCTTAAGGGAGCCAGACCCCGCATGGCCAGCTGCTGTTCAAATCCCTGCCTCCATGGCTTGAAAGACATGGCAGACGCATGTGCATGTGTGTCCAAAATCCCAACAGGAGGGAGAAATGGAAAAGAAGGGATTGTGGTGCGACCGAGTCCTCTCAGGGTCTGCTCCCTCTTTCCTCCTGCTTCATCTTTCTCTCTCTCTTTCTGTCCAGGAGCACACATGCTCTCTGGCAATATGGAAAAGAAAGAATCACACAGGTAAAAGTTTTAGTTCAGCACCAGTAGGGTTCTGAGCCTGGAGATCTCAAGTGGCCATGAAGCAATTGAGCAGTGTGGGCCAATGACAGGGCCATCTTCGACGCATTTATAATAACACCTGCCCCTCCCTGGTTGCCATGTGTGACAGCAGAGGCCTGTGCACACACCAGACCACACAGAGAGCACCTTACAGCGTGAGGGTGCCTGCGTAGGTACGGGCACGGCCGTCACTGGAGTCCCAGCTCAGTGCAGGCAGCGATGCCTTAGGGCATTTTAGGCTTGGGCTGGTGTGGGAGCATCCGCCTAACTCTGGCAGTTCAGAAGTTCTAGAAATGTTTCTTTTCTCGTTTATTATTAGTGCCCTGTATACTTAAAAATGGGTTCATGGGGTCAGCAGGTAATGTAGTGGTTAAGGCACTGGGCTCCCACATGGCTGACTATGGTTCAAGTCTTGGATCTAGCAGCTTGAAAATCATGCTGGGCACATGTGCGTGCGTGCCCAAAATCCCAAGAGGAAAACGGAAAAGAGGCTGTGATATGGCCATCTACCACCCCGGGAGGTGATTTCTCATTTTCTCACTATCTTTCTCTAGCAAGTGGGCACACACTATGGCAAAAACAAAACAAAACTCATAATAGAAGCAGTAAGGAAAGATATGAAATTAGGAAGCTTTAAGGAAAAGAAGGAAATAAATGCATCCCATACCTGAAGTAACCTGATTATAGTTGCCTTCATATTTGTCTTTCAGTGTCTTGGTAACCCGGGCAAAAACAGCTATGAAAACAAGAGCCTGCCCATGGCCTGGTGGTTAAGGGAGCCAGATCCCACATGGCCAACCACAGTTCAAATCCTGGCCCTATGGCTTGAAAAATATGCCAGACACATGTACATGCATCCCCCAAACCCTGGCAGGGTGGAGATGCCTGAAAGAAAGGATCACGTGTGGCCACGCCCACTCAGCGGGCTGCATTCTCCCTCTCCCTCTCTGTCTCTCCCTCTCTGTCTGCTGAGTGTACCCTCTGGCAATTAAAAAAAGAAAAGAGGAAGCAACTATGTACCCTACCCTGTCTTAAGAAAATCCAAGCTGGGGCCAGTAGATGGTACAGCGGTTACATTGCTGGGCTCTCACAAGGCCAACTGCAGTTCAAGTCCTGGACCCAGTGACTTGAAATCATGCCAGGTGTGTGGACATGCCTGCCCAAGATCTGGGAGGAGAATGGAGGAGAAGGGATTGCAGCATGGCCATCCCCCCTGGGGAGCAACTTCTCACTGTCTCTGTTTCTCACTCTTTGGCGCATGCACGTGCCATAGAGCAAAATCCTCAAAAAAGAAAAAAAGAAAGAAGATACAAGCTGATACTTGACCTTTCAAATAGTAAAAAATAGTGCATCCATGACTTCTAGCAAAAACTGTTTAAATGATGGCTTTATTGACCAAAATTCTGTCTTTGTGCAGTGTTTTCAAGTACATGGCAGTGTGTATTTGAAGGCCCTCTGATGTTCTCAGAAGTGCTTACCTGAGCTAGCGGGAGGAAGGGGTATGCTGTTTTGCCTAAGGCCCTCACACTTACCCTCAATTGTATGACTTGGAAATGGCTTTCCACCGCCTCTTGGCTCTTCAACATTAAAAAAAATTCTTAATATGCACAAGCCTTAGTTTCCTGGTCTGTGAAATAGAGATATCTATACAGCCTGTCTTCCTAGGTGAGCTGCAGGTGAGATGAGATGGTGCACATTTCACCAGGCACACTTCCGACAGGCCCCTGGAGGTATTCGTGTCCTTGGCTCTATCTGGCCACTCAGACCATGTGAGCGCTCTTCCTGGCCCTTCAGAATAAATGAGTGCCTGGTGGAGCAGGAAGGGCAAGGTCCCTTCATGGTAGAGGTCGCCCTTGTGCTGGCACGGTCTCCTCGGCCGACCCTTTCTAGAGGCCCCGAGCACTTCCTCCTGTCTCAGGCCTGGCTTTATCCTACAGATGGACCGAGCAGAGCACAAGGGCGAGCTCCGGGCAGACAAGATGATGCGGGCGGCTGCTAAGGATGTGCACAGGCTCCGAGGCCAGAGCTGCAAGGAGCCCCCGGAAGTGCAGTCTTTCAGGTAAGGAGATGGCACCAGGCAACGCCCCTGCCCCTGCCCCTGCCCCTCCCCCTGTCTCACCAGCCCCAGTCCCAGCCTTTGTCCAAGCCCTTCCCGCTCCGCGGTGCCCTCCCCCTCTCTGCTCCCCCGTCTCTGCTGTGCTCCCTCCTCCTCGGTGCTCTCCACTATCCTTGATGCTCCCCCCATCCCCGTCTCCGTCTCCTCGGTGCCCTTCCCTCTCCACAGTGCCTTCTCCCTCCTCGTGCTCCCCGGTTTCCTCAGTGCCCTCCCCTTCCTCGGTGCTACCCCTGCTTGGCCCCCTCCCCTCTCTTCAGTGCTCTCTCCTCTCCGCTGGGCCCTCAGTCTCCATGATGCCCTCCCTCTGTGCAGTGCTCTGCCCCTCCACGGTGCTCCCCCTGTCTGATGCTCCCCCTCTCCACAGTGCTCCCCTGTCTGATGCTCCCCTCTCCATGATGCTCCCCCTGTCTGATGCTCCCCTCTCCATGGTGCTCCCCCTGTCTGATGCTCCCCTCTCCACGGTGCTTCCCCTGTCTCATGCTCCCCCTCTCCGTGGTGCCCTCCCCTCGCTGTTAGTCCCCACACAACTTCGAGCTCATTTGTTAGACCCTCTTGTTCAGTGAATGAGCCACCTGCTCCAGCCTCTCCTCTTAGCATCTCCGTCACTGGCGATTGCTGAGGATCGGCTGAATGATAAATAAGCCTGGGGATGGCAGGTGCTTCTTGGCCTCCCGCGATCTCAGAGACGCTTTCTTTCCACACTGGACCCAAGCGTATGACAGGAGGGCCCTGAATGCCATTTCACCGGCCTCTCAGTCAGAGAGCTTGCGTCCTGACTTCTGATACCTTCTCAGGGGACGCGCATGTGTTTGTGTATTTTCAAAAAATTCCTGGGCCAACAGGTGGCATAGAGGTTAAGGCAGCTGAATCCCACATGACTGACTGCACAACTCGATTTTTAGACCTTCCGGCTTAAAAAACATGCCCAGGGGACCAGCAGTTAGTGTAATGACTACGTCGCTGGACTCCCATGTAGTCGACCGCGGTTCACGTCCCGGACCTGGTGGCTTAAACTCACACCGGGTGCCTGTGCATGTGCGCCCAAGATCCCGAGAGGAGAATGGAGGGGAAGGGATTGCAGCATGGCCATCCCCCTTGGGGGGTGAGTTCTTGCTTTCTGTCTCTCTATCTTCCTGGCGAGCAAAAACCTCTTGAAAAAATCAAAATAAAAAACATGCCCAGTATGTGTGTGCACGTGCATGCGTGTGTGTGCGTGTGCTCAAACTTCTGAGAGGTGACTGGAGGAGAAGGGATTCTGGTATGGCCATTCCTCAGGGGGATGGTGCTTTCTCACTTCCCTCTCTCACACTCTTCCTTTGTCTTTACACACACACACACACACACACACACACACACACAATCACATGCAGCATCTCTTTAATTTTTTAACAAACTGAAAATATAAAGCAAATGCTGGAAGTGACCCAAGGGCCCTGCTCAACTGCAAGAGGCTCCTGATTTGAACTGAAGGGAGTTGGCCATGCCAACGAGCCCCTGCAGCAGCGCCCGCACCCCAGGAGACACTCGGCAGTGTCTGTGCATTTCTCCTTGTCCCAGCTAGAGACCGGGGGTGCTACGGCAGGTAGCAGGGACACGCCGAGGTATCGCTGACCAGCCCTTAGACACAGGACGGCCCACAGAGAAGGACCAGCCCACCCCAGATACCCGTCAGGCGAGGTCGGGAATCCCTGCTCCCAAGGCCTGGCCTCTTTTGCAGGGAGAAGATGGCGTTTTTCACCCGGCCTCGGATGGACATCCCGACGCTCTCGGCAGATGACGTCTGAGCACCAGAGAAGTATTCCCTTCGTCTCACTGGCCACACTGTGAACACGGACTGTGGCTACAGTTATTTATGTGGTGTTACATGAAGGTACCGAGTCACGTGTCCTGTAGCGCTCTTGTTGGTATGAAGACGAACTGATTTTTTAGTTTGGGTTTTATTGTTATTATTAAAAAAGAAAAAAAAAAAACCAGCATTAAAATGACAAGATTGTATAGTTTGTATATTTAGGAATGTATTTTTGGGAAAGAAAATTTAAATGAACTCAAGCAGTGTTGAGTGGCTGCTCTTCTTAAAATCGTCTAGATTTTTGTTCTTTGTACAGCGCCAACCTTTTAGAGGTTCTATTGCAATAAGAGGTAATGTTTGGGGGACGGTCATCCAGAGAGGGCGTCCTGCAGCTATCCACAGAGCTAACCTTTCCTAGTTAACATATTTTGTACAATATTAAAAAAAAAAAAAAAACATGCACAGAAACCATTGGGGGTTTGGAGGTGCGTTCCATGATTTGTCATGAGCTTGATGTGTGTTCGTGGAGTGGGCAGCACGGAGCCGGCTGAGCGGCCCAGTCCCAGCCGGCCACAGCCACGCCAGCCTCCGGCGCCTGGTGAAGCCACTGCTGTGAGTGAGGGGAGGGCTGTGGAGAACTCCATCCAGTTTTATCTCCATCAATAAAGTGGCCTTTCAAAAAGACTTTCCTCTTTCCTTCTTTTCCTCACACCCCTCACTTTGTGTTTTTGTAAAAAAAATTTTAAAGAGATTTTTTTGCTATAGGGTACGTGCGCAAGATGGAGAGACAGAAAGAAATCACCCCCCGGGGGGATGGCCATGCTGCAATCCCTTCTTCTCCACTCTCAGGATTTTGGGCACGTACCACACGTGCCCAGCCTGTTCTAAGCTGCCAGGTCCTAGACTTGATGTAGTCACCTGTGTGGTAGTCCAACAACATAGCCATCTCGCCATCTGCTGGTCCCATCGTTTTCTTGCCTTTTTTTTTTTTTTTTTTTTTTTTTTTTGGGTTTTTTGTGTGTGTTTGCGCCCCACCGTTTTCTTTCCTTTTTTTTTTTTTTTTTTTTGAGAGGTTTTTGCTATAGGGTACGTGTACCCACCAGAAAGAGAAAGAAAGCGAGAAATCAGCCCCTCAGGGGGGATGGACACCCCACACCCTTCTCCTCCATTCTCCTCTTGGGATCTTGGGCACGCATGCACACACGCCCGGCGTGAATTTAAGCCACTGGGACTGGGACTTGAACCACGGTCGACTACATGGGAGTCCAGCAACATAGCCATTATGCCATCTGCTGGTCCCATCATTTTCCTGATTTTTTGACCATCCTTTCCAGTCATTTTCTTCTCCCAACCCCTAGTCCTGGAACCTATTGTTCTGCTCGACTTGCTTCTTCATTAAAGTGGCTGCTCCGTTCACTGGCAATCTAAATTCCTAACCAGTTGGAAATGCTCTCCCCTGCCCACGTGTGGAGAGGTGAAGTCGCAGTTTCTTCATGTGAGTACCGACCTGCAGCATCCCCACGCAGTTGCCGTAGGTCCTGATGCATGAGGGTTGTGTCTCGTGCTGCCCAGGGGCCCCTCACCCTGCACTGCTCACAGCTTTCGGGGCTGTTGCAGACCACCCAAAGTCAGCCTTTTGCAAACAAAGAGCCCCCACACACAAACCTCGCTCCTCCTCCTCTCTGACGTTACCCCGCACACCTGTTCTCAACATGTATGGGCCGCTCCTTCAGGGCCACCTGGGGCAGCCTGCTCAGCCAGCGGCTGTGGTGCAGTTTTCCTGGATGCCGAAGCCACATGGAAGTCCCAGCGTCTCCCTATACACGCCAGGCGTGTGCACGCCTGTCATCATGGCTGAAGGAGACAGAATGATCTTGGCATGAAGATCCTGAAGGTGCACCTCCCCCACAGAAGAATATGTTTTGTTTTTAATACGTACTCTCTTGGGCCAGCCTTGTGGCCTAGAGTGTCAGGAACGGTCCCACGTGGCTGGCTGCAGCCCGAATCCCAGCTCCAGCCGCTTTTGTGTGCCTGACCTCCTGGCAGGTGAGACGTGGAGGAAAATGGACCGGGCGCGACCATGCCCTATCAGGGAGTGCCTGTCTCTCTCTCCTGTCTCCATTTCTCTCTGGTGAGCACGTACTGCCCTCTGGCAGTTAAAAAGTTGCAAATGTGGGACCAGCAGATGGCATAAGGGTTATGTTACTGGACTCCCATGGAGTCAGCCGTGGTTGCAGTCCCAGACCCAGCGGCTTAAAACTCGGGCTGGACATGTGTGCGTGTGTGCCCGAGATCCTGAGAGGAGAATGGCGAAGGGATTATGGCATGGCCATCCCCCGTGGGGGGTAATTTCTCCTTTTCTGTCACTCTGTCTCTCTCTGTCTTTCCAGCGAGCACACATGACCTGTAAAATCTCTCCTAAAAGAAAGAAAAATGCAGGGACCAGCAGGTGGTGTGGTGGTTAAGGCACTGGACACTCCCACATGGTCGACCAGGGTTCGAGTCCTGGATCTGGTGGCTTGCTTTCTCACTTCCTTTCTCTCGCTCTCTCACCCTCTGTCTCTCTCTGGTCAAATTAAGAAATAAATGAATGAATAAATAAATAAATATTAAAAAAAAAAGAAAGAAAGAAAGAAAAATGCAAACCCTTGGGCCTCTTTCCACTGAGCTCCCCACATCCACTCTGGGATGGTCCTGGATTCCAGTACCATACCCATGTTCCCACAGTGAGTCTCATGCACACTGCAGTTTGAAGGACCCCCCTTACCCTGGTGTAATGTGAATGAAATCCAGGCCAAGGGGGAGGCAGATGGTGAGCTAGTATCCTGTGTGTGAGCAGCACAGGGGTCAGGGCTCTGCGGGGCCCTCTCAGGCCACTGGTGACCACTTGGAGTGAGCTGATGAGCACACATATCCTCTGCCAAAATAAAATGAAATAAAATTAAAGTAAGCTATTTTCCTCTTCCAAAGGCTACAGCTCGCTCTGGGTACAGGGGAGTGCATGCAAGAGGTCGGGGAGAAGAGGAGAATCCTGGGGGTGCCGGGCCTGGATGCCCTGGCACTGGGGTTCAGCACAGCCTTGCTCTCGCGGTAATCTGCCTGATGGCGTGAGTCAAGAGTGGGCAATAAAAATGTTGGAAATCACGAATTGGAATTTCTTTTCTCGTGCATCTGTGTTCAGCTTTCCACCAGGGCCAGCCCTTCTCACTCCCACAGCCCCCACATCTGTGTGGCAGAGCTCTGAATGCCCTCCTACCTGGGGAGAGCTATCAGGAGCAGATCCTCCTGCCAGGACAAGTGTCTCCGCGTGGCTTCAGCTGATGGAGCATTTGCTGGGAGAACCAGACCCCCTCTGTGCAAGGGAGAAGGTGGCCCTCCTCCAGACTGGCATTGAATTCTTGGGAAATGGGTCACTAGCAGATGATCAGCACACTCAGTTGTCTGCCTAGATCAACCACATTTCTATTGTCAAATGAAAGAACATGGCCTGGCCACAGAGCCACATGCAGCTAAGACACTGTGCCCCACGGGCTGGTTTCATTTCTAGCCCAGCTGCAGGCCAGGCACCGTGACACATTCCTGTAAGTCAACGATGAAGGGAGGATTAGGCAGAAGGACTGTGAGGTCCAGGCTGGCCTGAGCAACACAGAGAGACCTGCCTGAAAGACACGTGCATGGTGGTTGAGCTCCTCAGGAGGCCAAGGTAAGACAATCCCAACAGCAGGACTGCCGTCTTTACTGTAGGATTTTGCTGTGGGGTGCATGTGGCACAGGGTCTGTGCACTCACTGGAGAGAGAGAGATGGGGAAAGTGAGAAATCATCCCCGGGGCGATGGCCACCACACAATCCTTTCTCCATTCTCATCCCAGGATTTCGTGCACACACACATGTGCACCTGGCGTGATTCTCAAGCCACCAGGTCTGGTACTTGAACCATGGTCAGCCATGTGAGAATCTAGTGCCTCAACTACCATGCCACCTGCTGGCCCCTAGATGCCAACTCTCTAAATCCACACTAGCTTATGAATTTGAAGAATTATTTTATGAGGCACACAGGAAGTTGAGAGGCTGTTGCTCTAAGTACTGGGGCTGAGCAGGAGAGTCAGACAGGTACGATGTCCACCCTCTTAGGACATACGGCCCAGGCTAGCTATTTATGACTTTAACTCAATGTATAAGATTTTTTTTTTTTAATTTGCTAGAAGGTGCATGCACTTGCTAGAGAGAGACATAGGAAAAAAGGGAGACAGGGAAAGCACCCCCGGGGCTTGGTCATATCAGGGTCACTCCATTTCTCCCTTCTCTCCCATTTCTCCCTTCTTGATTTTGGGCACACATATATGTGTTTGGTGTGTGTTTCAAGCAATCAGGTCTAGGTCTCAAAACCTGTCGTTGGTGATGTGGGATCCAGCCACCTTAACCAGCAGGCCACAGACTGACCCATAACTCAATATATAAAAAATGGGATATTAGTCAGTCTTGAAAAAGAAGGAAACCCCAGCATGGATGAACCTGGAGGACAGCACAGGAAGGCAAACACTGCCCGATCTACAGAAGCAGAAATTACGCTGCGGAGAGTAGAATGGTGGCTGCGAGGGCCTGAGGGGCGGGGAAAATGCAGAGTTGTTTGTCAAAGTGAGCAAAGTTTCAGCTAGGCTGGATGAGTAAATCTGGAGCCCTAAGAGTTCAGCGTGGTGACCATAATACTATATTGTATATTCTCTATTTGCCAAGAGACTGGAGCTTAAATGCCCCCCCACACACGTGCACGGTAACTGTGAGGCGATGGGTTATGTTAGCTGGCTCCATCGTGGTGATCATTTCGCAAGGCAGACACATACCAGAACACGCCATTGCACACTGTTAATATTATACCTCAATAAAGCTGGGAAAATAAATCATTTTTAAAGTTTTAACTCAGGCCTTCTCTGACCCAAGTCACTTTATCAAATTACCTTTCTAGCCATTAAGAAAGCTACCTGGGGGCAAGCCCCTGGTATGCTGGCTTCAGGGACTGGATCCTCCTACACAGCCTACCACATGGTTGGAGCTGGAATCCAGCCGCTTGAGAAACACACCAGGTGTGTGGGGGTGTGAGTTGCAGGCGTCCAAGTGCCTGCATTCCTGAAAGGAAGGCGAGATGGAAGAGAAGGGATCCCAGCATGACCATGTCCCATTGGGGCTGCTTTCTTGCTTCCCCTGTCACAATCTTTCTCTATGGCGAAAGCATGTGCCCCCTGAGAAAATTAACCCACACATACAATCTGTGATTATTTGCCTTCTTGTCCTTTCTTATTCCACTGTAAACTAGTGTGCATGTGGGCGGGGACTGTCTTGGTATCTGTATTCCAGAACCAGGAATGTCTGGTATATTAACACCCACAATTAATGTTTATTGGAGAAATTAATGGACTTGGTCCTATACCCATTTCGCAGAGGGGCAAACTAAGTCCCCTGAGAGAGGTTCTAGGTAAGTGTCTCTGAGTCAGTCCAAACACAGGCAGCTCTGCCCCCAGTCCCCCCAATTCCATAATCCTCGCCCCAACATCCCCACTCCTGGCTGACTTCCCCGGTTCTCCTCGCAATGTCGGCTGGATTCCGCCAGGGGGCAGCAGAGACAACGGCTCTCAGTCGGATTGGAAACAGGTGCGAGGCGGGGCCCTCCCCTTCCGGACGGGGTTGCGCATTTCCGCTTCCGGCCACTTGGCGTGCGAGGCGCTGACGGGAGGATGGACGGGCTGGTGGCTCAGTGCTCCGCGCGGCTGCTGCAGCAGGTCGGGGCACAGGGCAGAGGCTGCGGGCGCACTGGCCTGGGCAGTGGCGGGGGACGGCCGCGACGCAGGGACCACCCTGACCCCGCAACGCGGCCGGCGTGGTCCCAAGCCCGGGCCTGGCTGTCTCGGAGACGCATCCCTCCCCGGGACTCCGTTTCCGCCTGTGTTGAGAGGACGGGGTGGGAGAGGAAGGCCCGGTGACTGACGCGGGGTGCATGGCCCTGCCCCGGGCCGCTCCCCGCTCACACCTGCCCTCGGGATGCGAGCGTAGCCGGACTTCTCACCTGGGCGGAGGGTTCTCATGAGCCCGGGCGCGGCTCCTTATCAAACCGGAGTTTGCTCTTTGCCTGGATTCTGCAGTCGTGGGGGAAGAGCAAACGTGAAAGTGAAAGTGCGGCACTAACTTTGCCTTCTAAGCCGGAGTGGGGAGGGTGCAAGTCGTTCAAGCACTCTCACCTGTTGAGGGAGCGCTTTGTGCCAAGTCGGCACTCCCAGGTTGGACGAGATCATGGCGAGTTGGATGCTGTGTCTCTGGGGGTGGGGATGTAAGGATCAGCTCGCTGGGCTGTGATGAGAGTTACAGAGAAAATTTCTGAAAACCGTTTAGCCAGCGCCTGGAACATAATTATGGTCAATTAAGGCAATGGTTTCTTTTTTCCTTTCTTAACTTTTTAATTGTCTGTAGTTATGTCCTGATAAACATCAAGAGATTTCAGGTGAGGAATCTCCCTCCTAGTTTTGTAGTTAGGATGTTTGTGTGTGTGTATATACATATATATATATATTCTTTTTTTTTAATCAATTGAAGCATTTTTAGTTTTAGGTATCAAAGTACAAAGTCTCATCTAGGGCCAAAGATAACTGGGAGTAAAAGGAAATGGGAAGATCATTTAGACGGAAACAAGGCATTTCGGGTTTATCCCATTATTGGCTTCACATTTATTTTGTCCCATCACACACACACTTAATATTTTCTTATCAGAGATATTATGCTTATGTTAGCAAAAGTCTCAGGAGGAAAAATCACTTGTCAAAAGCAAAGTCCATCATTCCTATACTTTATTATGCCCTGATAGGGGAAATGAAGTTTTATAGTATGATTTAGCATATTATAAAGGTCAAAGATTATCTCTACCTTAATAAAATGCCTTTTCTTTCACAGGAAAAAGAGATTAAGTCTTTGACTGCTGAGATTGACCGGTTGAAAAACTGTGGCTGCTTAGAAGCTTCCCCAAATTTGGAGCAGTTGAGAGAAGAAAATTTAAAATTGAAATACCGACTGAATATTCTTCGAAGGGTGAGTACTCCGGGTTCTGGATTCATTCTGTCATTTGAGTGATTATTTCTTTTTTTCTTTTCACCTTTTATAAGATTGTGGAAGTATGACCTACAGAATTCAGAAAAAAAGAGGTTGGAAACACTCTGTCTTTCCATGTTTTAGACAAGTTGGAACTGATGGTACAGATAATGGAGAAGTTGGTGTTGTCTGCCTTTCCAGGACCTTTGAAGCAAATGTTAAAGTAGCTTACAGTAGGCTAAATAGGTTGAAGACATTTGTTTTTGTTTTTTAAGAGAGATTTTTGCTATAGGGCACATGTGCTTGCTGGAGAAACAGATTTTTACAAAAAGCAAGAAATCCCCCCCTGGGGGGATGGCCACACTGCAATCCCTCCATTCTCCTCTCAGGATTCTGGGCATGCATGTACACAAACCTGGCATGAGTTTTAAGCTGCCAGGTCCGGGACTCAACCCGTGGACAACTGCAGGAGTCTAGTAATCTAACCACCACTATACCATCTGCTGAAGACATTTGTTTTAACGGATTGTGCCCATGCCTTTTTTTTTTAAGTGTTTAATTTTTCAATTCATTGCTGCTACTATAAAGGGAATATTATAAACTACACCCATATACCTTCTCTGCTAAGTTGGTTATTTTACTATTTTTATTTTTACATTTTATGTTTTACAATATCATTTGGGACTTTCTCTCCTATATTATATGTCAAAACATTTTCTCCATGAAGCTTGTGCTATTATTTAATGGCTTCATAATCTAATAATCAATTTTGTCAAAAAAAAAAAAAAATGAGCTTGCTTCAGTTTTCAGGCCTGCCTTTCGGGTTTGCTAATGATACGTTCCAAAGCATGACCTCATTCCCATAATTGCTGTGTCTATACTGCTCCTGGGCAGGCCGGACTGGTGGTGCATCTTTTTCCCCAAGCTAACTCCATTTATTCACTTTTATTTAAAAAGAATTATTTAATTTTATTCATTGTCATTATTTTATTTTTTTGAAGTTGACCAAATAGAGAAGAAAAATGAGAAAAAAACTGCCAGGTCTGGGACTCAGACCAAGGTCAGCCATGTCGGAGTCCAGCCTCCTCAACCACCACACCACCTGCTGCTGGCCCCCATTTATTCACTTTTCCCTTTGCCTGCCCCCCCTCCTTTTTTTGAGAGAGAGAGAAAGAGTTTTGCTGTAGGGCCCAGGTGCTTACTGGAGAGACAGACAGAAAGTGAAGAATCCTCCAGAAGGGGATGGCCACGCCACAATCCCTTCTTCATTCTCCCCTCAGGATTTTGGGCTGCACGCACACGCACCCAGCATGAGTTTTAAGTCATCAGGTCTAAGACTTGAATTGTAGTCAACTACATGGGAGTCCAGCGATGTAACCATTACACCATCTGCTGGTACCCCAAATTTTTTATTTATTTATCATCATTATTATTATTTTTAATTTGACCAGAGAGAGACATAGAGAAGGGGGAGGAATGAGAAAGCAAGCCACCGGGTCCAGCAGTCAAACCACAGTCAGCCATGTGGGAGTCCAACACCTAATCACCATGCCACCTGCCAGCCCCACATGGAATCTTTCTAAAAGAATCTCACCTGTCTGGTCATTCATTCTGTGTTGCTTATACTTAATTCTCTGTCATTTATTTTAAGATAAAGGTATTAATAAATGCCTAATATGTGCTGGAATCTTCTTAAGAGGAAAAAGATTCAAAAAACACTACAGTATATTCGAGTGCACGTTTCTGTGATACTGATTAGCTGTTAGTGTAGTCTTCAGTGTATCTGAGGAAGGCACATTGCTTTTTTCACACTTTGGTCTCTCAAGTAAGTAGCTAAACACGAGGCACACAGCACAGCCAAAAACAGCAAACTTAGGGGCAGACTTGAGGCCTGGTAAGACAGCCAGCTCCCACATAGCCAACCTCACAGTTTGACTCCCAGACCTGGAAACTTGATAAACACACCAGGTGCATGTGCATGCATGCCCCCAATCCTGACAGGTTGGGGAAGTGGCGAATGGGTTACAGCGTGACCAGGCCCCTTTGCTCCCTCTCCTTTTCTCTAAGTACATGCACCCTCTGGCAAATTGTTTTTGAGAGATTTTGCTATAGGGTGCATGTGCGCTCATTAGAGGGACAGAAAATGAGAAGTCACTCCCCAGGGGGATGGCCACATCACACTCCATTCTCCTTCATTCTCTCCTCAGGTCTCTGGGCATCCACACAAACGCATCCGGCATGATTTTCAAGCCACCAGGTCTGAGACTTGAACCTTCGTCAGCCATATGGGAGTCCAGTGACACAGCCATTAGGCCACCTGCTAGTCCATTGGCAGATTAAAAACACACAGAGGCACACACTGCAAGCAGCAGCAGAATGGAGTACTGTGTGTGGTTTCATTCTTTGGCTCACTTTGGCCACATGCTCTGAATTTGAAGTACTTCGTGGTTGGTTAGCCTGGAGGCCTTTTACCGTTGTGTTCATGAAATCAGCAGCCTCACATTTTCCTTACACTTCCTTTCGTTGAGCTGTCTTTTTAATTTTTCTGTAGGGTATCTGTGCTTGCCAGAGAGAGAAAGTGAGCAATCACCCCCCAGGGGAAGAATGGCCACACCACAGTCCCTTCTCTTCCATTTTTCATTTTTCTCTTAGGATTTTGGCACACACACACCTGGCATGTTCCTCAAGCCACCAGGTCAAGAACTCCAACCACACAGTCGGCCATATGGGATCCAGCTGCCCTACCACCATGCCACACGCTGGCCCTGTTCTTTTCTTTCTTTTCCAAAGAATTATTTATTTAATTTTAGTTTGCCACAGGGCACATGCACTCACCAGAGAGAGAGAAAGGGACAAAGAGAGAGAATGCAAGCCACCAGGTCCAAGGCTCAGACCGTGGTCAGCCATGTGGGAGTCCAGCGCCTGAACCACCTGCTGGCCCCTCTTCTATTTTTAAGAGGCTTATGTTTTTGTAGTACTTGCTAAAAATTCAAGTATCGCTGATGATTTTAAGATTGCTAATGCGATAGTGTTCACATTACAAAGTCACATAGATTTTGAGTAATCTGTTCTAATAATTTTCTCAAAAGCTGTTCTTTTTTTCGAAGAGGGTTTTGCTAAAGGGCACATGTGCTCGCCAGAAAAGACAGAGACAGAAAGCGAGAAATCACCCCCGGGGGGATGGCCATGCCGCTATCCCTGCTCTTCACTCTCCTCTCAGGATCTTGGGCACCCATGCACATGTGCCCAGCATGAGTTTTAAGCCACCGGGTCCGGGACGCAAACTGTGGTCTACCACATGGGAATCCAGCGACATAGCCATTACACTAACTGCTGGTCCCTCAAAAGCTGTTATTTTGGGGGTTATTTTTGGGATTAATTTGTGACACGATGAGAGGGTTTTTTTGTTTGTTTTCAGTTTTGTCTTGGGGCATGTACACTCGCTGGAGAGAGAGAGATGGAAAGAGAAGCATGATCCTTCCCCTGCAGGGGGATGAGCACTCACACACACCCGTGCCCAGCATATTTTTCCAACTTTCAGCTCTGGTACTCAAGCTGTGCAGTCGCCATGTAGGGTCCAGCCGCCGTAAACACCACTGCACCTGCTGGCCCATGATAGGAGGTTTTTCAGAATGTTTACATCAAGTTACAGCAAAGATGCTCATACCTTATGTAATCATTTTTACTTTCACGGAGCTCCTAGTTTGGGGGAGAAAAAGACTTGCACATATGAAATAGTGTTAAATCAGTTATAATCCAATATTAATTTGGAAAAAAATCAAATCTTATAAAGTCAAATACATTGAATTTCATGTGTGTGCATACACATATGTGACACACAAAAAACATACAACCATGCATATAGGAACACCTAACCTTTGAAATTTTTAAATTGCAAATTATTATGGTAGGTCTTGGGTATTAAGAGCCTACCTGAATAACATTAGTATTTGGTATTAAAATGTCTAGATTGCGGCCCAGTGTTGCAAGCCTAGTGGTGCTACTGGACTGCAGTACTGGAAGCCACATGCTGAGCATGGTTTCTGATCCCAGACCAGTTGGCTGAAGTCTGCTGGGTGGGCCTGCATATGCACGCAAGATCCCAGCAGGCTGGAGGGAGGGGGATTGTGGCATGACCAAATTCTGTTGAGGATACGATTCTTGTGCAGGTATGCAGTCTGTCATGAATAAAGGAAAAAGAAACCAGATTCTGAAAAGCAAATTTTCCCTTTTTTAAGGATAATTATTGGTTAACTAAAAACCTGAAATCAGGGCAGCTAGGGGCTTGATGGTTAATGAGGCTAGATCCCACATGGTTGACTTTGCAATTTGAGTCCTAGACTTGGTGGCTTGAAAAACATACCAGACACGTGTGCTTATGTACCCAAAATCCCAAGAAAAGAATGAATGAGACGGGATTGTGGCATGGCCACAACCCCCTTAACGGCAAGAGTGCTTTCTCACTTTCTTTCCTTCTCCCTCCAATGAGCTCATTCATATACCCTCCAGCTAATTTTTTAAAAAACAAACTGAAGTCAGGTTTTTTAGTCAGTTCAAATGTGTAATTTTTTGGAGAAGAATAATGAGGAAGCATAGAACTTGGACTCTTCCTTCCAGTAGACCTAGGTTTGAATCCCAGCTTCGCTACTTATTGTTTGGTTATTTTGGGCAAGTTGCTTAATCTCTAGCCCAAAAGAAAATAGTGACATAGTAACAAACTGTTTTGTTATATAGCTGGAGTAGCATGACGCATATAAAAAAATACTTTGGGGCTAGCAAGTGGCGAGGTGGTTAAGGTAGCTGGATCCCACATGGCCAACTGCAGTTTGATCCCAGACTCAGTGACTTAAGAATCACGGTGGACATGCACACCCAAAATCCTGAGAGGAGAGTGAAGGGATTGCAGTGTGGCCATCCCCACTGTGGGGTGATTTCTCACTTTACCTCTCTCTGACTCTCTCTCCAGTGAACATGTGCACCCTCTAGCAAACAAAGAACTTCACTAGGATCTAGACAAAATACTTACTTGAATATTAGCTTTTATTATTATTGCCATTCATATTTCCCACCATTGACATTTTGATTAATGTAGGGCCATGATTAGTATGCATGTAGGCAGCAGTTTTGTTTATATTCCATTAAAAGCATACCTATCCTTCAGCATTTTTGAAAACCTGCTATTCGGCCGGTACAATGCTAGGTGCCAGAGATAGAGCCATGAATTACACCCTTTCCTTGCATCTAACGTTTAATGGTACAGACAAAATTTTGTGAAGGAGTGAGTGCAACGGTAGAGGTAATTGTATGCACGTTCCGTGACTGCGTCCTGTGTCAAAGCAAATGAGAAATAGGAGGGAGTATGTTTACTCCTTCGTGGGATTACTTAACGGTGAGAAAACTACCCTGTTTTTCAGTTGTGTTGATACTAGTTTGTCCTCTTTGATTTTATGGCTCTGTCCTAGTAGGTGTCTCAGCAAATCCCAGATGTGGGGGCACCACACTGTGAGTGTGTCTTCCCTTTGGCTTTATCAAGATATTTGAGGGCTTCTCAAAGTATTTGGAAAACTTGTGTGATGATGTAGTGCTTCACTGACACATTGCCATTCTCTTCCTAGAGTCTTCAGGCAGAAAGGAGTAGACCTACGAAAAACATGATCAACATCAACAGCCGCCTGCAGGAGGCCTTTGGCTATGCCATTAAGGCCGCATATCCAGATCTGGAAAATCCTCCTCTGATAGTGACACCAAGCCAACAGCCCAAGTTTGGGGACTATCAGTGCAATAGTGCCATGGGTATTTCTCAGGTGAAGCATTATGTGACTCACGGAGATTTGATTTTTTTTTTAAATGTATTATTATCATCATCATTTACTCAATTTATAGAAAATTGTTGTATCCTTAATGAAAAAGACTTTTTCCGGTTTGAAAAACTTGAGAGGTGTATATTTTTAATTTTTTTTTTAAGTGCAAATCTGAGTTTCCAGTTAAATTTTGTATGTATTTTCACTATTTAAGTACAGTAATTGGTACTGTTCTATTTTGATACTTCCTGTCGTGTCCAGAATTGCTGTGGATTGTTGAGTGTTAGAAGGTGAGAAGAAATAAAAGTTAGCCATTTACAGCTCACATCCCCATCAAATATTTGATGCAGCTCTGATGTCTTTGTGGATGGCTATGTATTTCCTTTTTAAGCAGAGAGTTCCCTATGTTGTTCGGTGTGTTTGTGGTTAACTACCTGGCTTGAGTCTTTTTGCTTTCTTTTTGCTGAGTAAGAAAAGGTTTTTCCAAGTAGTCCAAATCTTTTTTTCTGTGGGAGCGTTATATATCATTCAGGTCTGAACATTGAATAATACTTTTATGACTTGGACGTTAGAAATGGAAATATGCTGGAACCAGGCTTTCTAAGTTTAGGCTTTTTTGTGTCTTTATTTTAAAGTTTCTGATATAAGTGTGCAAAATCATTTCAGAATAGAGATCACATGGTTTGGACGCTTTTATCCCCCCCCCCCCCCCCCCCTTTTTTTTTTTTTTTTTCTAAAGAGACTTTTGCTATAGGGCTGGTGAGCTTGCTAGAAAAATAGACAGAAAGTGAGAAATCATCTCCCTACCCTGAGTGGTTTGGACGCTTTTATCCCCCCCCCCCTGCCCTTTTTCTTTTAATTGCCAGAGAGTTCGTGTGCTCATCAGAAAGGGCTAGCGGTGGGGAAGGAAGCATTTTCCAATGGGGCATAATCATAATCTTTTTCCATGTCTCCATCATGTCAGGATTTGGGGAATGTTCAGACCAGCATGGTTTTTAAGCCATCAGGGCTGGGATTCCAACTACAGTTGGTCATTTGTGATCTACTTCCGTAACAAGGCTGCCCTGGTGTTGCTTTAATCTGTCCGTGCACAGTGTGGTTGGACTCCTCTGCTTCTGCCTTTGGATGGGTCTTATGTAAAATGCATCTATTGTTTTGGCAAGTGTGCATTTTGAAGTCACTTGCTGAAACCCGTTGTGTCATGAATTGTTTTATTTTGTGTTATAGATGCTTAAAACCAAGGAACTGAAAGTTAATCCAAGAGAAATTGCTGAAAACATTACCAAACACCTCCCAGACAATGAATGTATTGAGAAAGTTGAAATTGCTGGTCCTGGTATGACATGTTACCCTCCTTAAGTAGTTGTTGATGGTGGTCTTTTCTGAAATTAAAAACAAAAATCATTAGAAACAGAAGGTTAAAACTTAGCTGAACAAGATGGTGACGGTACCATGGATTGTGAGCTAGGAAACTGAGGTTCTAGTTTAGGCTCAGCTTATCAGATGGCTGCCTGTTTTTGGATGAGAGTTAACACTGCCTCCTTGGAATTCAGTTTTTCACCTACAAAAAGGGGCTAGATAATGGCACATTAGTCTGTGGCAAAAGAGCCCTCTGCTTTCTGTTAAGAGGAGAACATATTTGCTGAAAGTGAAGGGGCCCCAATTAAGTAGGAAGCTTCCAGGAGAGCACTGAGGCCTGAAATAGATGCTGAGACAGGAGCTTACAAGAGGGCTCAAGGGAAGGCCCCACGTGACATTGGAGTGATTCCTCAAGAGTTCTGCCAGAGCCAGATGAGCATGATGGAGCCAGCAGCAGGGGAGTGGAGAAGAGACTGGGAGTGAGTAGTTACTCGGAGCGGAGACAGTCTGATGCTTTTTTCTCTTCTGCTCTCCATTAGGTTTTATTAATGTTCATTTAAGGAAAGATTTTGTGTCAGAACAGTTGACCAATCTCCTGGTAAATGGTGTTCAACTCCCTGCTATTGGAGAAAATAAAAAGGTATGTGCGCAGAATTCTATTGATGTATCAATATGTTGGAACTGCATACACAGTACCATAGCTGGGAACAGATTTCATGTTTTTTTTTAACGAATTATTTTATTTAACTTTATTTATTTTTAATTTGACCAGATAAGCGGGGGAGAGGGAGGTGAGAAAAGAATCCGCCGGGTCTGGCACTCGAACCACAGTTGCCCATGTGGGAGTCCAGTGCCCTTAACCACCACGCTATCTGCCAGCCCCCATGTTTTTATGTTGTGATTTAATGATCATTATTTGGGATTACTAATGTGATTGTGAAATAGCATTTCTCCTGGGTCTTGCATATTGTGTGGTTTTCATTGCTTCATTTGAGTTAGTGAATACTGCTGAAATAGAGTATAATTTGGATTTTTAATTATTTAATTTTATTGTTATTATTTAATGTGCTGTAGGGCATGTGTGCTCACCAGAGAGAGAGAGAGAGAAGCAAGCTCTCAGGTCCAGGACTCGAACATGGTCAGCTGTGTGGGAGTCTAGCACCTTAACTACCACACCACCTGCTGGCCCCCAGAGGATAGATAATTTGTATAAATTTGATTCTTTTTTTATTTAATAATGTATATGTAGGTACATCAGAAAAATTGAACACAGTTGGATTACAAAGCAAGCCAACATTTAAGTCTATCATTAAATGAGTTATTGGCTCAGCCATGGCTTAAGAACATGGCTTAAGAAGCTATTTCTCTAGGCCGAGGCCAACCCTGTGGGAGACCCAGATTTAGTTCCCAGCTCACCCTAAGGGGCTGCATGTGGTGGCATGCACCTAGGTCTCAAGGCCCTGTTTTTAAAAAGATGAAAATGGGACAGTTGGTACCACCATAGTGTGGTGTTAAAGGTGGCTGGATCCCACATGGCCGACTGCACAGTTCAAGTTCCAGACCCAGGGGCTTGAAACATTCTGCATGAGCCCCCAAATCTTGAAATAAAAAATGGAGAAGGGATTGTAGCGTGACCATCCACCATGGTCGAGGGGGGAGACAAGATAAAAAATGTTATTAATGGATGTGTTAACAGAAGCAATGTTTATGCCCCTTTGAAAATCCTTTGCCATCTTTTCTATCCCAGGTTATAGTTGACTTTTCCTCTCCCAACATAGCTAAAGAGATGCATGTAGGCCACCTCAGATCAACGATCATAGGGGAGAGCATATGCCGCCTCTTCGAATTTGCCGGGTACGACGTGCTAAGGTATGTGCTCTCACCTTTGGAAATTTCTGTGGAAAATGGAACATCTCATTTAAAAGTCCTTGACAGTCAGTGGTTCTTTAGCTTAGTTCTGCTCTATAATTACCCAGTAAGCTTTTCAAATAGGTCATGGGCCCCTCCTCTGAACTGTTTTTACATTTTGTAGAGACTCTGAGGGTGCAACCAGGGAAAACTCCATTCCACAAATATTTTTCCAGTACCTTCGGTTCACCAGGAGTTTATCTTAGGAGTAGAAGTAGGCAGGAAACAATGGTGTTAGCCATATTGGACGATGATGAAAGTGTAATGGAAAGCCACTGAGGAGTTCTAATTAAGGTAGCAATGTGACACAGGTTTCATGAAGATTGCTCTGGCCACTGTGAAAAGGCTAGGCAGAGGCAGACTGGTAAAGTGAGGAAATTTCTAATGTAATCAGTTGAGAGATGATCTGATTGATGGTCGGGATTAGGTAAAAGCAGAGAGGGATGAGAAGCGGTTGAATTGACATGTTTTGAAGTATTTTGTCTGTTGATATTTGGGAACCATTAATCTAAATTAAGATAAGTGGTTGAAAAGTTAAAATTTTCAGGACCTGCGAATAGTGTAATAGTTACATTGTTTGACTCCCACATAGTTGGCCGCAGTTTGAGTCCTGGACCCAGTGATTTAAATCTCTCGCTGAGAGCATGTGCATGTGTGCCAAGATCCTGAGCGGAGAATGGAGGAGAAGGGATTGTGGCATGGCCATCCCCCCCGGGGGTGACTTCTTGCTTTCTGTCTCTGTCTCTCTGGTGAGCACATGCACCCTATAGCAAAAATCTCTCCAAAAAAAGAAAAGTTCAATTTTCATAAAATTGTGGCCGTGACCAACATTGGCTCAACTGTCATCTTCCCAGTTAGCTACACAGTGAACAGGTTACAGTCCTGGGACTGGAGAGTCATTCACTCAGCAGAGCCTGGGTGCCTCTGTCTGCCTCTTGTGGTGTTTGCAGACCAGGTGAGGAGACAACCAGACAGACAGATACTACTCAGCATGATGTGCTGGCTCTTAAACATTAGTGGTTTCTAATGAAATATAATTTCTCTAATCTGATTTCAATGTCTTTATCTTTTTTTTTTCCTCAATGATTTTATGTTTTCTGGCTGGTGTTAGGTTAAATCATGTAGGTGATTGGGGGACCCAGTTTGGCATGCTCATCGCTCACCTGCAAGATAAATTTCCAGATTATCTAACAGTTTCACCTCCTATTGGGGATCTTCAGGCCTTTTATAAGGTTTGCTACCATTTACTGTTGTTCATGCATTTACCATTTATCGTAATTACTCATTTTCCTTAAGGAGTTCAAGATGATATTTGAAGCTTCTTTGGAGTTAAATGAGAGTTTCTATCTATAGTGTTAAAGGCCGTGCCTCCACCCATGTCCTAGTTGCTATAAAAAATGGTACTCCCTCCAACTTAAATTATTTAATAAACTTAAACACTTGGTTCACATACACTGGCCTAGCCATAATGTTAGGTATCACACAGATGAAAATAAAAGCCACTTCCTTGAGTTCACCTACTTGGAAAGCTGAATTCTTTTTGATTCTTAGATCCACTACATCTAGTTTTATGCTTAAACAGCCCCCCTCACACACACACACACACACACACACACACACAGATCCATTGCACTTAATTGTGAACTTAGAAATACAACTAGCATTGCTGGTTCTGCTGCATTAGGTTGTATGCATAGAAAGAGCCGTTTCCTGGCCTGGCTGTGGCAGCGTACGTCCTGAGAAACTGCTGTGCAGGCTGAGACCACAGTGTCTCGGTCCAAGGGCTTGGTGGTGTGCACCTACAGTCCCAGCAAGTCTGGGAGGCTGAGGCAGGAAGATCACCATATGGCAAGACCCTGTCTTAGGGAGAAAAAGGAAAGAAGTTGTAAAGGGAAGAAAAGAAACAAAAACAAGGAAGGATGGACCATCCACCCCCCCCTTGTTTCCTTTGCTCATTGGTATGTTAATTTTTTTCTTTAAGAATTATTTAACTTTATTTATTTATTTATTTTTATTTTACCCTGGGGGTTTGGGGGAAGAAAGTGAGAAAGCAAGCTGCCAGGTCTGGGTCTCGAACCGCGGTCGGCCCTGTGGGAACCTAGTGCCCCTCACCACCATGCCACATGCCGGCCCCTTATTGGTATGTTAAAAATTGAATTCTGTCATGTTACATATTGTTAACTGAATTTGGAGATTTGCAAATACTAAAACTATTTAAATTTTTTGATGCTGGACCAGCAGGTGGCATGTAGGTTAAGGCGCTAGATCCCACATGGCCAACTATGTGGTTTGAGTCCCAGACCTGGTGGCTTGAAAATCATGCTGGGCACACATGCATTCATGCCTAAAATCCTGAAAAGGAGAGTAAAGGAAAAAGAATTGTGGCATGGCCATCCCTCTGGGGGGTGATTTCTCACTTTCCCTCTCTCTCCCTGTCCCTCTGGTAAGCACACATGTCCCATAGCAAAAACTAAATAGTAAAAAATAAATATCAAAGAGGGACCAGCAGGTGGCATGGTGGTTAAGGCACTGGACAAACCCATATGGCTGACCATGGTTTGAGTCCCAGACCTGGTGGCTTGCTTTCTCTCTGTCTCTGTCTAGTCAAATTGAAATAAATGAATGAGTGAATAAAATAAAATAAATAATTATTAAATAATTTTTAAAAAGAAAAATCAAAGAAAAAATTATTTTCTTATGATAGACAACTACCTAAGAGTAGGATTACTGCATTAAAAAATAAACACTTGTCTTTTTGTTTGTTTTTTTCTTTTGGTAACTGTTTTCTGATGGAAAATTAAAAATAAATGTTTCCTAGTATGACACTGGTAAAATAACATAATAATCCCCTGGTAGAGTTCTGTACATTGAATACAAAACAGAAAATCTATTAATGCAAGAAAATGTAAGACATTTCTATAATTTACGGGCTGCAGTTAAAAAAAAAAAAAAAACCCTTTCCAATTATTATAAAAATATACGTGTATTT